TCTTTATGGAGACCTTGGCAGGTTTGGGCACAGCAGGTACATTTGTTGTAGTTGTTAATCATGAGCTCACCCAAGGATATTTTCCCATTGATTCTCCAGAGAGTGGAAGGGAGGGATAGAGACACTCAGAGAGAAACGTCAATATGAGAGAGACACTTCAGTCAGTTGCCTTCCGCAATGCCCACACCAGGGCCCAGGATCAAGCAGGCCATCAAGGCCTGGAACCAAGGTATGTGCCCTTGACCGGAATCAAACCAGGGAACCCTTCAGGGCAGGCGACACTCTATCCACTGGGCCACAACGGCCAGGGCAGCAGGTACTTAATCATGTGGCTCCTTCATTCGCTATGTGCTCAGGGCCGGCCCTTTTTATCATCCGTGCCACTGCGAGGCTGTGGGTCCCTCCGATAACCTCAGAAGTGGTTTTTAGTTTTTTTCTTTTAGGGGTTTTTGAGGACTCCAATTCCGTGGGTTCTAATTCTGCTCTGCCTCTTAGGCAGGCTGCGTGACTTTGGACAAGTGTCTGACCGTCTCTGAATCTCCGTCTCTTTATGGGAAACGGGAGAAGTTCCCTCCCTGCCAGGGAGCTGGAGAGGATTAAGCCGGTTGAAACGGTGGAATAGGCCCAGAACTGGGCACACAGAGGGCACTCAGTATGTGCTCACAGTTCCTATTAACTTTGTTGTCATTACTGCTTCCCGGTTCCATCCAGGAGGAGTTGGGGATCCCCCCCCCCCCGTTTTTCCTGTCCCCCTCCTGGGGGCACCCTGGGCATCCCTCTGCACTGCGAGCTTCCCGAGCTGGCCCCTGCCCACAGCGCCATTCAGGGAGGTTGGCACGGCACAAGGCGGGAGCAGGAGGCTGGCCCAGGGCAGCGTCGGCAAATGGGCACCAGCTGGGCTGTGGCTGGGGCGGGCTGGCAGCTGCCTGGAGCCGGCAGGCCTGGCAGCCCCTCCCCTGCCCACCCCTGGCATGGTGCCCCGCCAGCCTCAGGTTTCTCAAGCCGCCAGAGGGGGCAGGGAGGCCTGGCTGGGCTTCAGGCTTGGGCAGGCGGCTTCCCTCTCTGGGCCCTGCTTCCTCCAGGCGCCTTCCCAAACGCAGGGCAGGCTGGAGAGCAGCAGGCTCACTGCTCCCGGCCTCCCCATCGCCCTCATCACCGCCCTCCCCACCAACGCCTGCGTCCTCTGGGCCGTTCCGGCCCCCGGGCCTTTGCACTGGCTGTGCCCCTGCCTGGTGCACTTTTATTCAATCCCTCCGGCCTCCCTCTCCTTCAGGCTTCATTCATCTCAAACGTGACCTCCGCTAAGAGCTCCTTCCTGTCCGAAGTGCACCCTCCGTGCCCCTCCCCTGCTCTGTTTCCCTGCCATCACATTCTCTTTCACCGAACTGTGAACTGCCAGCCTCTTCATCCCCTGCTTCGGGCACCTCCCACACCAAGTGCACTCGTGTAGCAGGTGGTCCCCAATGTCCCAAGGGGAAGCTCTCATCACCCCTCATTACAGGCCCTGCAGCTGGCCCCGGGCACACACGGTGACCAGTCCCTGGAACCAGGCTCTGATGGCCATGGTGGCGCCAGATGGACGCCTGGGCAGCCAAATTTGGGTCCAAGATGCCCTTCGGCTCTAACAGTCCAGTACTAAAGGAACCTTCTCGTAGCTGCTCTCCACCCCAACATCCCCCAAAATAAACCCCAGGATGGAGGCCTTGGATTCCCCTTTGGGGTGCGGCCCCACGAGTCCACCTGACACCCTTTGGGAGAGGTGGAAAGGCTGGGGGGTGGGGTGGAGGTGGGGGCAGGCCTTGTCCAAGGACAGGGAAGGGCTGATAGGGCAGGCATGTGTGGTGCCTCCGAGTCTCTGAGTCTCTCCATGTCTCTGGGTCCATCTGTCTTTTCGTGTTTGTCTGCATCTGTGTGTGTGTGTGTGTGTGTGTGTGTGTGTCTGCCTGTCTGTCTATTGGTTCTGAGGCCCCACTCCATGATGGACGTGGTACCTCCATTCAGCTGTACAACAGGTGCTCTCCTCCTCATCCACCCTGAACCCCTCCAGAGGCCAACTGAGGCCCGCCCGCACCCCCTCATCGATCCCACGCCCCCAGTCAAGCTGAGCAAAGCAGACACTGCTCCGGCCGATGCTGGGGCCCTCCAGCCCTGGACCCCACACTTCTCTCTGCCATTGGACTGACACCTGCCCGGCCGAGAACAGACTTGACTCTGGCCCAGAACAAGGACCGGGGTCCCGGGGAAAACGGCAGGGAGCTGGGGCTCAGCAGGGGGTCCCGGGGCAGCCTTGGCTGCGAGAAGCCTGAATCCCAGACCCAGCTTGGGAGTGGCCAAGCTGGGATGACTGGCTGCCCATGCTGCAAACCACAGTTTCCCTTCACCCCTTTCTGCCGTCAGTGAGGCAGGCTGGAGGGGGTGCGTCCGCTCAGAAGCTGCCTCTATCCAAATACCACGTCTCCCTTCCTTGGCTGCGTGACCTTGGGCAGTCCCTCCTTGGAGCTTCTGTTTCCTTTCCTGTGGAATAGGTATCACAACGCTTTCTACTCACAGGGTGCCGTAAAAACGGAAGAGAACTGCTAATCCATCAGCAAACACTGCCTAACAGAGAAAGAGGCGCTAGGCGTTGGCGTTTTGAAGCATAAGTAGGAGTTTTCCACACGGGAAAGGCATTCCAGGCAGCGGGAACAGCAGGGGCAGAGGCCCGGCGGTGGGAAATCGTCATGGTAACGAGGGAGCCTTCGCTTCATGCCCGGCGCTTGTCTTCCACAGCTGTGAGCTCCCCATGCCCCCACAGGCAGTTATCTCTGAGCTTCCCGTTTTACAGACGAGAAAACGGGGCACAGAGAAGTGAAGTGACTTGTCCCGGGTCACCCAGCGGCAGGCAGCTGAGGGCTGGAATCCAAGCCCAGTTCTCATGCTCCGCCCCCACGCCGGCCAGCTGGGGCTGGGTCAGCCGGGTCCAGTGCGAGCCGGGATTCCCCTGGGATAACGGAGTCGGCTGGAAGCAGGGGAGGCTGGTAGCCTTGACCTCTCCTGGCCCTCGTTCAAGGAGGTTGACCAGATTGGCCAACAGAGGCTCGAAGTGGGGCCTGAAGGTGTCTGGGGAGGCCTGGAGGCCTAGCTTGCCTGCTGAGCTGAGAGGGGGAGGGGGGCCTGTGGGGGAGGGGAGGCGCCTGGAGATTGTGCTGACGCTGGCAGAAAACTCTGCTTCAAAATTTTATCAGCTCAGCTCAGAGGGGGTGGGGGTGGGGCTGGGCGGAGGATGAATGTGGAGGGGGAGACCTGGACCTGCATGGTAATGAGCCAGGGCGGCCCCTGCCCCCTGCCCCCTGCCTGAGACCGGCACCTCCTCCGCTTCTCCGCCTCCGCACAGCTCCAGGGCTGCCCCAGTGGGCTTGTTACTAATTGGTGCTGGTAGGGCAAGGGGCAGATGGGGTCAAGGTCAAAACGGGGAAATTCTGTCTGGCTCTCCCTCCTACACACCCTGGAGACCTGGAGCTCCACAGACTCATCTGGTCCTTATACCACTGATAGGAGCCAGCACAGAGGTGGGAAACGGAGGCACAGAACTGTGAGATATCCAACAAAGTCACCCTGGGGGCCGTTTGGCTCCAGCCTCGTCACAGACACACAGACCGGAAGCAGCGGCCCCGGCTGTGGCCACCGGCACCTGTGACCTCCAGAGGCTGGACCAGTATCTGGCCTCCCCATCTCCGCCCAAGCTGCTGACTGCGGGATCCCTTCCCGCCCGCCGAGGCCCAGCCATCCTGCAGAGCTCAGCTCAGCCTCATTTCCTCTTCCTGGAGGCTGCCATGGACTGGCTGCACGCTCACAATCCCTGCCAGGCTCAGCCTCAGGCATCTGACCACAGAGCCCGCAAACACCCAGCGAAAAGGGCCAGAGCTGGGGGCACTGGGGACCAGAGAGGGTGGTGACCTAGCCAGAGTCACACAGCACCCGAGCCTCCCACTCGCAGCACAAAGGCGTGCCCTGCTGGGCCTCTGCTGGAGGTCTGAGTGTCCATCCACCAGTGTCCCCAGCACGCTCCCAGCTTTCCCAGAGGGACCAGCGTGTTCGCCAGCCAGAGGTCTCCCATCCGTCACTCTCCTGTCCTCATCCCTGCTCCCAGCAGGCCACGGTTTGCCCATCAGACCTGGGCCAGGGTCTCACCTCCTGAGCCGCCAAGGGCACGCCAGCCCCCTCAGACACCAAGGCCCCCTCAGACACCTTCCGATTCTCAGGGCGAACCCGCTCTCCCGCTCACTCTCCTCGAATCACATCTCCCTCCCCGAGACCTTCACGCCCCGAACCCCACTGTAGGCCCGCATCTCCCCTTGGACTCGCCCTGCGACGGCCTCCCGAGGGCGCAGGGCAGCCTCTCCCTCTGACCTTGCAAAGGCCGGCCTCCCCACCCCAACCGCGTGTAGGTTAAGGCGACCAGACGTCCCGCTTTTCGTGGCACAGTCTCGATTTCCAATCATTTGTCCCGCAACCTTTTAAAAAAAAAAGTCCCAATTTGCCGAGACCGGTTTGGCTCAGCGGTGGAGCGTCAGCCTTCGGACTAAAAGGGTCTGGGTTCGATTCCGGTCAAGGGCATGTACCTTGCTTGCGGGCACATCCCCAGTAGGGGGTGTGCAGGAGGCAGCTGATCAATGTTTCTCTCTCATCGATGTTTCTAACCCTCTATCCCTCTCCCTTCCTCTCTGTAAAATAAATAAATAAATAAATATATTTTAAAATAAAAAATAAAAAAATAAAAAAGTCCCGATTTCTAACAATTTGTCCTCCGATTTCTAACCATCTGTCCTGCCAAAAGCAGGACATCTGGTCACCTTAGTGTCGGTACCTCCTTCCCTGGACATGAACCCCCCCCTTGCACGCGGCCACCCCACCTCCTCCCGGCGCACCCCACCTCCTCCCGGCGCACCCCATCTCCCGGCGCACCCCACCTCCTCCCGGCGCACCCCATCTCCCGGCGCACCCCACCTCCTCCCGCTCACCTCTCTCGCGCACGAAGTAGGCTAGGTAGAGGTCGAGCTCCTTGACGGCCACGCCGATGTGGTGCGGCTGCACGCAGAGCACCGGGTGGCCGCACTGGGCCGCCTTCACCAGGCGCTCGCCGTCGGTGCTCTCCAGCGGGATGCCCTTGAAGAGGATGACCATGACCAGGTCCAGCCGCCACACCTTGTCGGCCTGGCGCAGGCAGTCGATGCGGCGCATCTTGCCCTTCTGGTCGGGGTTGGAGAGCACGCAGCCCGGCGCCTTCTTGCCGGTGATGGCCAGCACGAAGTCCTCGCGGCACTCGGGCCGGATGTCCTTGCGCAGCTTGGCCAGCAGCCGCGACGCCCACTTCTGCTTCACCTCGGCCTTCTCGCCCAGCAGCTCGTCCTTCACCGCGCGCTCCTCGTCCTTGGACATCCGCTTCTCGTGCTTCTTGAAGTACTTGCGCTTCCGCGCCTGCAGGTTGAACCAGGTGTAGGCGAAGGCGCGCACGTGAGGCAGCAGCGCCTCGATGAACGGGTGGAACTCATCCTGCGGGCGGGAGGGCGGGAGGGAGAGGCGGGAGGTCAGGAGGCGCCGGCACCCAGGACCCGCCGCGGAGGAGGGAGATCCCTCCGCCTCCCGGGAAGGCAGGAGTTCCGGGGGGACAGGTGAGAACGCACTGCCCATGTGGGGAAACGGAGGCCCGGATGAGGTGGGAAGCCCAGGCCAAGAAAGACACTCACGGCCCGGCCAGCATGGCTCAGTGGCTGAGCATTGACCTATGAACCCAGAGGTCATGGTTGGATTCCTGGTCACGGCACCTGCCAGAGTTGCGGGCTCCATTCCCAGTGTGAGGTATACAGGAGGCGGCAGATCAATGAGTCTCTCTCATCACTGATGTTTGTATTTCTCTCCCGCCTCCCCTCCTCCCTGAGATCAATAAAAATTTAATTAAAAAAAAAAGAAAGGCATTCATGGGAAACTGTCTTGAACCTCAAAACAGGACAAGCTGTGGGTTCCAGGTGGAGACCGATGCGGACCCATTGTACAGGTGGGAAAACTGAGGTCGGGAGAGTGAGGATGTCATGGATCCATTCTCTGCCTTCTAGAACTGGGGTTTGAAAGTACCATAAGAACAGACAGTGAATATTTTAGTTGCCAGTATTCCACTCTACCCCTGTAAGTGCAACATAGGTAAGATGTGAATGACGGGCAGAGCAGTATTCCAATAAAACTTTATTGACAAAAACAGGTGGCTGGCATCCGGCCCCAGGATGTAGTGTGAGCTCTACTGTTGAGAGCAGGGCTGAGCACACAGTGGGTCCTCAAAGATTGCAGGAAAAACCAGGCTTGGAGAATAGTGCTTGGGGCTCCTTTCTCAGACCCACTGCTCGGCAGAGGAAGCTGACACCAGAGGGGGGTCCAGGGCTGCCTCTACTGGCCCTTGGCACTGAGGGAAAAATGAGGGCTGAGGCCCACAGGCCTCGACTAGGACACCTGGATGTCAGGGGCTGGTGGTGGGGGCTCCTGCACAGGCACACTGAAGGGGCCAGGAAAGCTGAGGCCGGAGACACAGGTCAGAATACACTAAACAGGGGAGCTCAGCCATGGAGGTTCAGAGCTAGAGAGAGGGCCCCTGGGGGTCAGTTCCCCTCCCCCTCCCCACAGACCCATTCCACAGATGGAAAAACTGAGTCTGGGGAGGCTGAGACCTGGCTAGAGCTATGACTTCAACACCTCCCTGCCATTGTGCCTAAGGAGTGTTGCTGGGCCCACAACGAGGAAACAGAGACTCCACGAGGGGACCCAGTCATGAGGGACTGGGACCAGACCCCACACCCATCTGACTTTCTCCACAAAACCCCAGTAGGGTTCCTTGGAGAGCCACATGGGAAACCCCATCCTGCTCTAGGACTGTGTCATTCTCTCCATTTTCTAGCAAGGGAAACAGGCTGCGGAACATCCGGGACCTGGTTTCTCGGGCTCAGGGAGTGAGACATTCCAGGAGAAAGGAAGACAGAAGAGAAACATCAGTCCTTCTCTTGCCGGGACTGTGCTAGGCTTCTTGAATGGGGTGATATCTCTTCCTGGCTTGTGAACCCCGTTATCTGCCCCGCTCTCAAAAGGCTGCATTAGCTATTACTATTATTATTGACATTGTTACGATGTTTTGGTTGCTTACAATCTTCCAAGGGGCAGGAAAAGGCCCATGGCTTTGCTATACATTGTGAGATGGGGAAACTGAGGCTCAGAGAGGGGTGGAGACCTGGCGGAGGTGAGAAGAAGAAACCAGGCCTCCCGCCCCAAGGAGGCCATTGGGCCCCTTTCTCAGAACAGCCTGCTTTCTGCCAGGCTGGGGTCTCCCAGCGAGAAACAGCTGCTCTGGGATCCTGGTTTGCTTTTGAGGTGGGTGTGGCTGGGCTCGGTCCCACCTCCAGAACAGGATGCTCAGGGTACCCCCGGCTGGCACTCCCTCCCTGCTCTGTGCTTCATCTCCCTCGGAGCCATCTCCGGCCACGCCACGGGGTGCTGGGGGGAGGGGAGGACCTCAGATTTCACCTATTACCGAGGCTCTGAAAATAGCCTCCTGCCCTGGCCAGGGTGGCTTGCGAGGGGCTCAGCTTGTGTGCCCAGTTCCCCACTCCAAAGTGCCCTGGAGCATGAGTCACTGGAACAACTGTGGCAGGGCCTGGACCGGGGCCCTCGGTGCTGCCCCAGCCCGCTGACCTGTGGAGGCAGGGAGAGGACCGAGGGGCCCACCTCCTGCCCGTCCGCCCGTCCCACCCGATTGCCTGCCTTGTGCCTGGATGCCCCTTGATGTGCCAGACCCAGAGACGGGGAGCCACTTGCCCAGGGGCACACAGCCAGTCCGCAGAGCAGGGCCAGAGCCCAGCCCTCTGGCCGGGGACCCGGGCACAGGGAGTCACTGCCCTGTGGAGGGGATGCCAGGGCAGCGGTGTTGTGTTGACGCTGGGCTGTGGCTGCCGCCCAGTTGGGTGAGCGCTGTGCCCTGATAGGAGGGGGCTGGGAAGAGGCAGCTGGGTGTCACCCGCAGGGGCGGGCTCCAGGCCCCAGACTCCTCCTCTCCTGACACCATCCTCTCGGGACACCTCCCCACTTCTCAACTTAATTCCTTTTCTACGTCTCGGCCCCTCTTCTCTGAGCCCCCACCCTGTTCCAGCTCCTTCCCTCTCTGAGCCCTCCCCTCCCTCCCCCTCCCCCCGATCTCCACACCCTCTCTGGGGAAAGGTGCCAGGAGGAGAGCAGGGGTGGGAGCCCACGTCACCAGTGACCCCAGCTGGTCCTGGTCGGAGGAAGACAAACAGTCCGTAACTGGGTCATGGACCTGCTGCCCCGTCCTCCCTTGTCCTCCCAGGGAGGTCAGACTAGATGAGAGGCCGGCCTGTCACTCTCGTTGTCCCACAAAACCTGCAACAGCCAGGGCTTCTTCCGCGGGCACCTCCCGATGCCCCCGCTGGCTGACGGGGCACAGGAGGCCGCCAGGGCAGGCTCCCAAACTCCTACACATCCCTCAAAGCCCTATTTCTAGTCTTCCTTCCTTCATGCAGCTCTCAGCTCTCCTCAAGGTTCCCGCAGACCTCGCCTGGGCCACACAAGCTGTGGAGTCTGAGTTCAGCTCTTGCTCCTCCTCCAACCCTAAGCCCTGGGGCTGAGGCACAACCAGGCAGGCCTGTGGGTGACATTAGCCTCCCGTTTTCACCTTTGTCCTTGGGCTTCAGGCTCCCTTTGTACAATGGGCAGAGGGGAACTGCGGCCGGGCGGGGGTGGGGGTTGGGGGGAGAGTTGGGGAGCTTGTCTGTGGCCTGGTAACCAGAGAGTGGAGGGAAGTGGAGCGAGACTAGGCCTTCCCCAGAAACCCCGCCTGGCCCACTGGCCCTCCAATGGGCAGCGGCAGCTTGGAGGTAGGCACTGGGTCCGAGCCCTTGCTGGGCCTATGGACTGGACAACTGTGCCCTGGCTGTGCCCCTCCCGGCCCCCGTGTCCCTCCCGCCCTGACAGTCCAGGGCAACACAGCAAGCAGCACGTGGAACTCCCGTTCCCACTCCAAAAGCGTTTCCGGAAGAATTCTCCCTCCTTCATTCACTCAGCAACTTGGCAAACGCCACGTCCTAGGTGCTCAACCCGAACTCCTATGCATCCCTGGAAGCCCTGGTCCCCATGTGCCCTTCTCTAGGAGAGCCCAGGGAAAGGGCAAACAGCAGAGCTCATATGTGAACGCAGACCCACCTGGCGCCAGAGTTAGGGTTCCTAACTTAGGCTCACCCCCACCTCCCAAGCTCAGACAGAGCAGATGGATAGCTCTTATCTAATGAGGGAGAGTCATTCAGCTGCTCAACAAGCATTCATTGAGTGCCTGCTGTGTGCATGCAGGGTGCTGGGGCCCAGCAGTCACCTGGGCTCGGCCCTCATGCAGATCCTATGGCAGGATGGACATTAAGCCAGCCAACAAGGAGGCGATAAAACATCAGGCTGCACTAAGTGCAAAGGAGTGTGAGGGGCCAGCGTGTCCGGTGGGGGGCGGTGTGTGTGAGCGGGGGGGGGGGGGGGGGGGAGGTCGGGAAGGGTCTCTCACAGGACAGGGCCCTTGAAGGTGACAGCCCAGAGCAGGAGCTTCCAGGGGAGAAGACAGCACCGGCTCAGGCAAAGGTGTGGAGGCCGGACGGTGCCTCACGCCCTATAGGAACAGTGAGGAGGCAGGGGAGCTGTGGCCGAGGGAACAGGAGTGAGAGGAGGGGCGCTGAGGGCAGGGAGGGGACCCAGGCTGGCTGTGTGGGACCTGATGCGCCAGGCCGAGGAGGGGAAACAAACAAACCAGAGTGAAAGCCCCACGGACAGTGAGGATGAGCCCTGGGTGCCCTATTCCCCCCTGGCGTCCCAGGAAGAGGATGGGGCGGAGCCAGAGGGCCATGGTGTTCCAGGAGCAAGGTTGTGCCTCGCGAGGCTGAGCATTGATGGTGCCCACTGTCTGGAGGGAAAGACTGAGGCACAGAGCACTGCGGCCAGGAAGGAGCAGAGCTGGGGCCACCACCAGAGTCCCCGTGACTGTGGACCTGCTGCCTCCTCAACCCTACGGCGGCCCCTGGAGCACATAGTCTGACCCCACTCTGCGCTCCGTATGCACTCTCTCAATTCTGCATGACTCCCGTCCCCTGCTCCATCCTCTCACTGTTGGCTGGAGTGGGCCTCTCGGAGGAGGAGGTGGCCCACGCCAGCCAAAGAGGCAGCCTGTCACCTTGTTTCTTCCCCCCCCCCCCCGAATCCACAATCTCATCCTCTGCCTGTCGGCTCCCTACACACCCCAACGAACAAAGGCCTGGCCAAACGGGAAGACCCTGGACAGGGCTGGGCTGAAAGTCCAACCGAAAAATCCTCATGGCTCAAAGCTCTAGTTTTCACAAGGTCACTACTGCCTACGTTATTTGGTGCCTACTGTATGCCAGGCACGGTGTGGAGGGTGAAGAACCGATCGAAGGAAGGCATGGCTATGGGGAGCTGGCAGAACCACCCGTCCATTCACACAACACTCA